CATAGTTGCAGTCAAAGTAGAATAAGATTCTCCTGACCGAATTTTTCGGTTTCTGTGAACTTGTGCATAGTATTGAAAATGCTCTGTAAAATATGCAGAGGCATGCTTTTGCGCTGTTTTGCACACTTTTGCAATCAGACTCGCTTTCACTTCCACTTTGCATACATGCAAACAGATGGAGATTCACACTGGCGCACGGCGCCCACACCAAGCTCAGAGATATGGCAACCAAGAACACAGTTCAGATGTAAACTCGCTTCAACAGACTATGGCACCTCAGCGCCTGTACATCACAACTCTCGTCACTGTGTTCAACACCACTGCACATAACGGAATCCATGTAGGATTTGAACTCGGCACCTTAGATTTCAATCGTTCTGATTGTGTACCATGCAGCCACAAAGACTGGCATGCATGTGTGCTCATTTGTTGCGCTGCTAGATGTGTCTCGTAGTGGAGTGAGTGTAAAATACTGTGCATGCCTTCTTTCGTGAAGTTTTTAGAATTTTGGTGAAATTCTCTTTGATCTTCGTAACGATTTTTTTCATTCTTTTGGTGAAATTTTTGGGTTTTGTTGTGAATTTCTTTTGAATTTTTTGAATTTTTGTGAATTTTTGGTGAGCCTTTGGGAATCGTTGTGAGTTTTCGTGAAATGTTTGTGAAATGTTTGTGAATTTTTGTGAAGTTTCAATCTTCGTGAACTTCTTTTCACTTTCGTGAACTCTCTGGATGTTTTTTGTTTTGGATTTTAGTATGATTTATTGTGAATTTTTGGGAACCTTTTGAAATTCTTGGGAGTTCTCGTGGAATGTTTGCTAATTTTTGTGAAGTTTCAATCTTTGTGAATTTTCGTCAACTTTTTGGAACTCTCTGGATTTTTTGTTTTGCACTGCTCTTTCATCGAGTGTGGGGGGGTGCCGGTAGTCATCCCCGTAGAGTCTGGTACACTGTCTTGGCGTAGAGCTGTGCAATTTTATAAATTTTCTCCTTTGTGGTGCGTAAACCAATTTGGCTGGACGTTCTCTTCTGTTTTTTTGTTCGGTTGCATCGTTGTTCAGAAACACCATCGACTGCCCTTTTTTTCCCCTTTGATCTCCCTGATGTTCAACTGTTTGTTTGTTTGTTTGTTTGTTTGTTTGTTTGTTTGTTTTCTTAATGTTCAACTGTTTTATGTTTGTTGGTTAGGGGGAAAAAGAGAAAGACCATTGACTTCTCCGGTGATCAATGATTCTAGGCGCTTGCACTGGAAGGAAAAAAAAAAAAAAAGGCAGACAAAAATAGTTAGAAAACATCATTGACTGTCCTTCGGGGCATCCGTTAAAATTGGAACGATACTGAGAAGATTAGCATGGCCCCTGCACAAGGATGACACACATAAATCAAGAAATGGTCCAAATTTCAATTTACCAAAAAAAAAAAAAATGAACGACTCTTCTGATGCTATCGATTTCTAGGTATGTGCATAAGAAAAGAAACATAAGAAAAATGTAGACAGTGTTACAGTGTCCCTCGCAAAGGGCTAGGAGCTTAGATACTACTCCCTGCATAGAGTAGAGTGGAGAGACATTAGGTTTGCCTGCTCCTTGTCGACTAACGTAGACTTAGGCGTGGACCGTGGCGGCTTTGGTATCCCTACACATAGAAATCGCTATCGTGAGAATTGGCCGATCCGGGCTGCCCGCGGTCCTACCGGCCCGACAGTCCGAATTTCTGCACGATCTTAAGAACTTTCAGATCGCACGACAATCCAGGCCGTTCGGCAGGGTTGACTGCCTTGGTCGTTGCGCGATCTTAAAGTCTTAAGATCGCGGGATGATCCGAGCCATCGGCCCGGTCGGACTGCGGGCGGCTTGGATCGTTGTGCCTGTTGAAAAGAGGGCCCGTCGTAAAAGGACGGCCTGGACACCTGCTGGCCATTGGCCCGTTGCAGGGCGGGCGGCGCTATGGCCCTGCTTGCGTCGAACGGCCCGTGACTACACGCCCTCGCTAGAGTCCAATGGCCTGTGACTTCGTGTGTGTTGTGTTGCAAGGCTGTGCTTGAAGGCCCCTCCGAGGTGATTCNCCCGTGACTACACGCCCTCGCTAGAGTCCAATGGCCTGTGACTTCGTGTGTGTTGTGTTGCAAGGCTGTGCTTGAAGGCCCCTCCGAGGTGATTCCTTTGGCCCTGCTTGCGTCGAACGACCCGTGACTACACGCCCTCGCTAGAGTCCAATGGCCTGTGACTTCGTGTGTGTTGTGTTGCAAGGCTGTGCTTGAAGGCCCCTCCGANTCGAACGACCCGTGACTACACGCCCTCGCTAGAGTCCAATGGCCTGTGACTTCGTGTGTGTTGTGTTGCAAGGCTGTGCTTGAAGGCCCCTCCGACATGATTCCGTCTCCGCCCACCTCCCCTCTATCTCCGCCCACCTCCCCTCTGCCTCCCCCCGCCATCTCCTCTCTCTCTTTACTCCCTCACCTTCGCCATTTCTCCACCTCCGCCACCTCCCGTCCGCCTCCTCCTGCCATGTCCCACCAACTCCTCTCCGCCTCCCTATCCCCTGTGTGTGTGAGTGTGTCTGTGTGTGTGTGTGAGAGAGAGAGAGAGAGTCTGCGGCCTGCAGCACCACCTCCGGCCTCGGCCTCCGCCCAATTACCACTCTGCCTCTGCACAGCTCTGCCCGCCTTTGCCCACCTCCGCCCACCTCACCACCTCCGGCCTCGGCCTCCGCCCACCTCCGCCCACCCTCCGCTCGGCCTCTGCCCAATTCCCATTCCGCCTCCGCACACCTCTGCCCGCCTTTGCCCACCTCCGCCCACCTCCCGTCCTCCTCCCCCCATCATCTCCTCTTTTTTGCCTCCCCGGCCTCCGCCACTTCTCCTCTGCCTCACCCACCTCCCGTCCGCCTCCTCCCGCCGTCTCCTCCTGCCAACTCCTCTCCTTCTCCGCCTCCCTATCCCCTCTGTGTGTGTGTGTGAGAGAGAGAGAAAGAGAGCCCGCGGCCTGCACCACCGCCTCCAGCCTCGGCCTCCAACCACCTCCGCTCGGCCTCCGCCCGCTTCCCATTCCGCCTCCGTCCACCTCCCCCCGTCTCCGCCCACCTCCCGTTCACCTCCCGCCACCATCTCCTCTCTTTCTTTCCTCCCCCGCCTCCGCCACTTCTCCTCCACCTCCACCACCTCTCGTCCACCTCCTCCCACCATCTCCTCTCCGCCTCCACCACCTCCCGTCCGCCTCCTCCCGCCATCTCCTCTCCACCTCCGCCACCTCCCATCCGCCTCCTCCCACCATCTCCTCTCGACCTTTGCCACCTCCTGCCTCCTCCCAACATTTCCTCTCTGCCTCCGCCCACTTCTCCTCCACCTTCCCTCACCTCCGCTATGGCCTCCGTTCTGCTGCCCAGACATCTGCCATCCCTCTGCCCGCCTTTAAAAAGAAAGAAAAAAAAAAAACGGTGCGCGCCCGCATCCCCTCGGCCAGCGCCGATCTTCTGTCGGCCTCCACCTCCGCCCACCTCCCTCTTGCCAGGGATTGCCAATTTCCCCTCGGCCTTCGCCCACCTCCCGACCGCCTACTCCCGCCATCTCCTCTCCACCTCCGCCACCTCCCGTCCGCCTCTTCCCGCCATCTCCTCTCCGCCTCCGTCCACTTTTCCTCCACCTTTGCTCACCTCTGCTCTGGCCTCTGTTCCGTTGCCCGCACATCCACCATCCGCCCACCTCGCTCCCGCCAGGGATTGCCAATTTCCCCTCGGCCTTCGCCCACCTCCCGTCCGCCTCCTCCCGCCATCTCCTCTCTACCTCCGCCACCTCCTGTCCGCCTTTTCCCGCCATCTCCTCTCCGCCTCCGTCCACTTTTCCTCCACCTTTGCTCACCTCCGCTCTGGCCTCTGTTCCGTTGCCCGCACATTCACCATCCCTTTGCCCTTTCCTTCACCTTCGCTCGCCTCCGCTCGGGCCTTCGTTCCGCTGCCCGCACATCTACCATCCCTCTGCCCGCCTTTAAAAAGAAAAGCAGAAAAAAACGGTGCACGCCCACCTCCCCTCAGCCAGCGCCGACCTTCTTTCTGCCTCCGCCAACCTCCCTCCCGCCATTGGGATCGCCAATCTCCCCTCACCCTCTGCCCACCTCCCGTGTGCCTCCTCCCACCATGTCCTCTCTCTCTTTCCTCTCCGCCTCCACCACTTCTCCTCCACCTCCGCTCACGTCTGCTCTGGGCTCGATTCCTCTGCCCGTACATCCGCCATCCCGCTGGACATCCCGGTGCCCGCCCCTTTTTTCTTTTCTTTTTCTTTTTTAACAGCACGCGCCCACCTCCCCTCGCCCTCCGACGACCTCCTCTCCACCTTCGACGACCTCCTGTCAGCCTCCGCCCACCTCCCTCCCGCCATTGGGATCGCCAATCTCCCCTCAGCCTTCGCCCACCTCCCGTCCGCCTCCTCCCACCATCTCCTCTCCACCTCCGCCACCTCCTGTCCGCCTCCTCCCGCCATCTCCTCTCCGCCTCCGCCCACTTTTCCTCCACCTTCGCTCACCTCTGCTCTGGCCTCCATTCCACTGCCCGCACATCCGCCATCTATTTGCCCTTTCTTCCACCTTCGCTCACCTCCGCTCTGGCCTCCGTTCCACGGCCCGCACATCCACCATCCCTCTGCCCACCTTTAAAAAGAAAAACAGAAAAAAACGGTGCACGCCCACCTCCCCTCAGCCAGCGCCGACCTTCTTTCCCCCTCCGCCCCTCCCTCCCGCCATTGGGATCGCCAATCTCCCCTCACCCTCGCCCACCTCCCGTCCGCCTCCTCCCGCCATGTCCTCTCTCTGTTTCCTCTCCGCCTCCGCCACTTCTCCTCCACCTCCGCCCACCTCTGCTCTGGGCTCAATTCCTCTGCCCGCGCGTCCGCCATCCAGCTGGACATCCCGTTGCCCGCCCCTTTTTTCTTTTTTCTTTCTTTTTTAACAGTGCGCGCCCACCTCCCCTCGGCCTCCGACGACCTCCTCTCCACCTCCGACGACCTCCGGTCAGCCTCCGCCCACCTCCCTTCCACCATTGGGGTCTCCCATCTCCCCTTACCCTACGCCCACCTCGCGTCTGCCTCCTCCCATAATCCGCTGCACATCCTGCTGTGCGTGCCAACCTCTCCTCTGCCTCTGCCCGCCTCTCCTCTGCCCTTCTCTCTGCGTGGCAAAGACGATTCCTTGGAGAGAGAGAGAGAGAGAGAGAGAGAGAGAGAGAGAGAGAGAGAGAGAGAGAGAGAGAGAGAGAGAGAGAGAGAGAG